GCTTAAAAGCCTGAATTTTGCCTGAAACTCTCAGACTGAAGAAGTCTCTTGGAGGAGAGACGAAATGTTTCATTAGTGAAGAACCCGTCCAGAAGACCTATACAATTTTTTTCTTTTTGATTTTTTACCTGGATTACTGAGATGCATCAGGACATTCAGCTCTGTGTGTTTAAAAATGACTAATTTATAGCCTTTTGTAAATTAGCATTAGTTATTAGATTAATTCGGGATTAGCATTGGCAATTTGATTATTTGTAGCTCCTCCACAACAAATTTCATCACAGCTAAGTTTCAAATGGCTGAATTATATCCTTTTAAAGTTAGCTGTACTTAGTCCTGAATTTTTGATTAGCATTTAGAATTTGGTAAAGATTGTTTTCAGCTACTTCTACTAATGACTGAATAATAATTTGTGACTAGCATTCAGCATGTTTTTTTGTCATTCTTAGCTGTGATCACTCAAAATGTCAGCTCAGTATTTTTAAAACAACTGAATTAAAGCCATTTGAAATAACTGGTGGTGGCCATCTTGATTTTTACAAGATGCCCCTACTAAAAATTGCCTTGACCACCCCAGTGCCACCCTGGCAAAAAAAAAGTCTAGCTCCGCCCCGGGGTGTTTCATACAGAAAACTGCTTAGTTAAAAACTGTTTTATTAATCAAACGTGAGGATCAGAGATGATCAAAACCTACAACTCATTTTGTGACAACTATGATTTCTATAGGATTTCATATCACACTGTCCTTCAGATCAAAAGTATAGACTAAGATAATCTTAGAATAAGAAAAGGTTAACCTGTTTTGGTCCAACCCTTTTTTTATATGCACAATCTCATGGTATCTGTTAGCCTTCTGAGYCTATGTTGAGGATGACTCTCAGCTACAACCACACCAAATTTTACTTCAGTATTTTTAAAATTGGCTGAGTTATAGCCATTTACAGACAGAGTCTGATTGTTAGCGAAGCACCGCGTTTCTAATGCTACGTCGTAGCCACTTATCCTGTGGCTACAATCTTTGCTCCACATCCAGAGATAGCAGAACGTTTGGTGGCAGGGGGTTGGTTAATTTTCAGAAGCAGAGCGCTTGGTTCTGTTGAAAGGGCGGAGCACCCTCCTTGGATAATGGGAGGTTACTTTGAGTTGGAGTCCATTTTGGTGTTGGACAAAGATTCACCATTTCGTCCTCAATCTGGTCAGAATTAAACAGTTTCTTCAAGCTGAGATTGTTCAAAGAGCTATCTATAACAGGTAAGATATTAACTGTTCATAACCTTTCCACAGAACCCCACTTGAGAAGGTTTTAGAGGTAAAATTGTGGTGGTTAGTTGTGACACTGAACACRTTAGTTAATTCTGGTGGAACAAATCTGGAACAGGTTTCCAGTCAAAACACTGAGGTGTTGTCATGGTTGTCTTCCTCAGGTGGACCTGATGAGGAGCTTCACTTTCAGGAACTCAAAGGGCAGCTATCGAGGAATTCCCATCATCGCTGCCAACATGGACACTGTGGGGACCTTTGAGATGGCTCTGTCTCTGCACCAGGTAGAAAATCTTTGTTTTTACTTTACATAAACTGTAGTCAGTGGTGGGCACAGTTCTTCTATTAGCAGAACTAACTTTTCCTTTAGCAGATTAGCTTTTTTTTTCTTCTTCTTTTTTGGCTGACTTTGGAAACAGCCTACCAATTAGGTTCCACTAAATTAGGTTCTACTGATTTTAAGTCCACAAAAAAATTGTAAAACGTGTAAAACTTCTATTTTTATGCGGTTTTTATCCAAATAAAATAAAAACTATTCTCTCTTACAAGCAGTGTTGGACGTGTCAGGCACCGTGTGTAGCATGTAGCATCTTTAGCAGCATAACTTCAAAATAAGAGCATCAAAAAGAAGTAAAATAACATTTAACACTATTTAAATAACAAATACAGAAATTGACTACGTATTAATATGGTAGAGAAAGTATTAACTTCAAGCAGTATTTAGAAAAAACAAACCCCTTCAAGGAGATGCTTTTATTCTGAAAGGGGTAAACTTATTATGTAAAAGTTAGAGCTGTAACTCTATTGTGGATTGGCCAATTTGCCACAGATGATCCCACCCACCTTCAAATATTAAAACATTAAAAAACTAACTGTAACAGTGTTCTTAGCGGTTAGCATCCACTAATTTTATTCTTGGGCTGTGTCCAAAATGACAGGCCGGGTCCTCCGGAGGACCCAGACTCCCCGGTCKCKKYGGGCYGGGTCCTTGGTAGACCGGGAAGACCGGAAAAAAGAGGCTGTGGATTTGGACGGTCTAGCCTCCC